CGTGTGTCAGTCAGCACCCTTAGGCGGTCTGTCCGTCTTATCACTAGGTGAGTTACTACTTCTCAGACCACCGACCTTATCGTGGGATCCTTTGAATCTTTTGGTCAGCTCTTCCTCCATAAGGCCCAACAATGAGGATTTCAATCACAAAGCCTTCTGTATTGGATGTTTATCAAGATTTTCAGAAATCAGTACCTCAAGAAACCGTTGAAGTATCAGCACAGTACTGATAATTCCGAAATCCTAAATTGAGACCGAAGCAGAACATAAGAAAGATGAAAAAAGAGGCTGGGCTGTAAGAAACAGAATATGGTAGTCTATTTCTAATCGAATCTTTCTGGCAATGACGATAGAAAAAGCAAAGACTGACAAGGTACAAATGATGAGAAACAGGCAGGTGCACCAGCAGGAAGCTTTGGCGTCTCCCGCACAAAAAAGTCCGAACGTGGAGGGAATCGAAAGAAGAAATCGTGACAACATCAAAAAAAAATCAAAGCCTCTGAAGTATACTAGGCGACATGTATGAAAAAAAGAGTAGATGGATTTCTTACATGCTTGTTGAACTGAGTTGCAAAGGAGAGTTACCCCACAAAAATATTATAAAAAGAAGAAATAGCTTGAGATCTTAAAGGCACATTCCATGCCAATAACGTGCGGGTAATGGGGCTGAAATAAGGAGCACTAGATGCGGCGTGATTCCACAGGGACACCGAAGGAGATGTCGAAGTGCCCTGAATGAAGCCTCCTGTTGATAGTTGAATGAGAGCCATAGCGCTCATGGCCCTAGATAGGAAATCAAAACAGGGCATTTAAACCGGTGGTAGACAAAACTAAGACTAACCAGGAAAGGTCATCAGATCAGTATGGCCATTTGCAACAGCCACGCATTAGTCTTGAGACGATAAGCTAGAAACTGCTTTTCTTATCTGCTAAACGGTGCTCTGAACGGAGTTACGGAAGTTTCCCCTTCAACACTGTATTTGAACATTTTTGAAATTTGAATTTGAGTGCTATCATTGGAGCCGCCCGTACAAACTTTGCGAGAGTGAGCCCATCCGATTGCAATGGTGTAAAGGTAGCGCTCCAGACTCGTAAGCGAGAAGGTCATGGGGTCGGTTCCTTCTGGAGCCGAACGTTTTGCTTTTTTGATAGCATGACCAAAAAGGCTTTCAGCGACATTATCTTGACAATGCCTGCCTCTACCTGCCTGTGTAGACTTCGCGAGCACCTGGTTGCAGGTTTACCACCTGGACATGACTGAACACGACGTTCGCCAGGCATTTTTGGGGCAAACGAGCATGATATTCGTATTCAGAAGATCAAAATAAATCCGGAGGCAGTCTTCCAGCCGATTTTTGGACTTTCACCTAACTTCAAGAGAGGGCAGTGAACAAAACCAGCCAGCGCACGAAGGTATGAATCAAAAACGACTGGAAGAAGCACCTCTCCTGAATTTGGATACAGAGCCATGTAAATTAATCCCATCATGCAGGAACGTGAGCCAGTTGAACGTTTCTTCTGTTTAGGATCTTGGCTAAAAAGTCGATTTCTATCTCAAAGGTCTGGCGATGGGTTGGATATGTATTAGAGTTGATGATGATGGTTGGCTCACCTATTTGCCGAATTTGACTCAAAACCTAGATTTTAGTCATGTGAACTCGTATTGAGGGGTAATTGATCTCCCAGAACACGAATATCATGTCTGCTCGCCGCGAAAAAGCAACGACACTACACTACGGCACATGGGCAGACATGAACAAACAGTGCCCAAACCTGCAAGGAATTGCTCACAAACACTTCATACAGGCAACTAATGGCAAGTGTTGATAAATTAACGAAGTAGGAAGCTTTTCAGCCATATTGTCAAAAAAAAAAACAGACTCTCGGATACCGTTCCCACGACCTCTTGCTGCGAAACCGGGGCGCTACCGCTGCGCTCCCTTAATTTATAACTTCGTTAAATGAACAGTTCAGCAGATATGGAAGACAGTTTCAAGTTCAGCGTTTCGAGGCGAGTGCAGTGGTATAAAGCTCATTGCAAATGTCCGAGACCCTAATGACTTTCTATGGTTAAGCCAAAGAAGGCGAGAAGGGGTATTGCGCAGGGAGAACAAAAGTTGCTCACGTCCTCCACCGGAATCCTTCCCCTGTTTAAGTTTATTTCCAAGTTCTGTGAGTGGCTCACTCACTTCAATGCACCCTAACAACATGAGCTTGCACGGCCTGTAGTACATAAAGATCCATGTATTCGAACGAGATGCTCTGATAACGACGGAATGTATGCCATAAATGAGGAGAAATCGACGAAAGGAGCGGGCGCTTATGGGCAGTCCGCAACGTTTTCAGCACCTCTTTAGCTCGTCCTAGGAAGCTTTCGTCGAGGATGATGAAAAATATTGCTTCCTCCCTCACTCGTGCACCCCCCCCCCTTTCAATGGCTTAGCAGTGCACCCAGCCGATCGTGGGATGTGCCCTCTACGAATCGAAGATCAATCGCAAGTTCATTGGAGCATAATGACGCTAATGATGTTTCGAATGGAGGATTTTTATTGTATTTATGTCTATGTGTGAATGTTGTTAAATAACTAGTAAAAACAACACCAGTTGCGTACCCATTAGATCTTGATTGAGCACAACTGTTTGGGTCCAAACCAGTACCTTTTGCCTAGATATGAACAACCTGTATTCTCATGCAATGTTCTGTGTTTCTTGTCTTCAAGGTCAAATGGAAGTCTCACTACCGCGGAAATGCTGATCTCTTGGCAACTACTGAGCATTCCCAGCTGCGTGTATGAGAATGATTTCGAAGAACATGGGTGACAAGCACACTTGACCGGCATTTTTGCCTTCGCTATAAACCTAGGCATGACTTACGTATTTATACACAAAACCGAATAGCACCTACTATACCTTATCCTTATCTTAATTCAAGATCCTCGCAAATTCCTAATATACAGTAGTCATAGGCCCGAACCAGGGTCAACCGTTACGTTGGACCGATATTGGAGCGACGTTGGACCGATGTTCACCGCTCTCCGCGCCGGCATTCACTCTCGCCACCCGCGAGCCGTCTGTGTCTCCGTGCGTACGTTCACTCTCGGCATTACTCTCGTCGTCGCGTTGGACTTTGTCCAACGGACGGTTGACCCTGCCGAACTCAATAAATTCTTGGCATTCATTACGGCGTAACCTTGATGAGTGTCTAAATGAGCTACATTTTTTTCCATGTGCCGAATCGTTTTTTGGAGTTATTTACAATCCATCACGTGCTACCAGGAAATTAGGAATCTCTACAAGCACTGTAGCTACTGTAGCTAACTTTTGTCCACAACGGACGGACTGCACATCCCTTAGCAAGTAGTCACTGATTCTGCAAGCAGCACATCTTTCAAAAAGCAAACGTGATTCTTCTTAGGATCGTAATGACATAAAGACAGGAGCGTTTGCGTCCCTTAACATACCATTGTAGCATTTCAAGGGCCTGAGTTCCAATTGGCATTGTAAGAAAGAACTTGCATACTCGTGAGAAAAAGATGAAATTTTGAGAAAGTTGGATTAATTTTGACAAATTCGTGAACAAAAAGGCGATAGAAACAAGGAAACGTACAGCGGTGAAAAATAAAGTTCACCGTTGCAGGAAAGTCGCAGTTTGGTGAGAAACAGGTATACCCGAGCGAAGAGGTTCAAAAACGTTCCAGCATCCCAGATCCCTATCGCCCTAACATAAGGGCTAAAGTGCTGGGATCTAAAAGCGTACCTCAGTGTCATAAAGTGATTAGAAGGTCCACACTGTACCGTGGGCGTAATGAAGATTTTACGACACATTTACAATGTTGCGGAAAGATTAGGCTACGCTAGAAACTCTGACAACCGTTTGACAGCACCCAGTATTTCCTTGTTTACAGTATCATAAGAAAACGATGTTTTAGCAACGATTTTGAAACTATGAACCTGCAAAAAGACGTCCAATGATGCCATGAAAGCAGTGGAAGTTATTACGCACAACAAACATACAAAACAATATATTGCATCATTCATTATCAACAAAGCAACCAGAATTCCGTGAGTACTTTTCCATGAACACAAGAATAAACAAAAAACTCTACAGAACGCTAGTATGGGAACTGAAAACCAAACCAAAAAAGGCACGTCAAAAAACTGCTTCAAGTGGAATGTAATGGCAAGGGTAAACCTCTTCGACAAGCGATAGGGTACACACATCAGAGGGAAAGTGTTTACTAATGAAACAGGTGGAATTGCGAGTGACTGAAATGAGAACTCAACGAATAAGCAGCTGAACAAAATGATTACGTGAGACTGCTTTTCTTCAGGAATAGGACAGGAACTTGGCCCGGTGACCTTGAACCCCTATCTCAATGACACTTCCGATCAACGACACAAACATCCATCATGAACACATTTCATTAGGCCGTATGAAACGAGTGACATAAAACGAACAGAAAAAATAAGTACCCATTTTTGTTCAAGAAAATAAATAATCCTCACGTATATAAACACACAAACCCTTTACGATATTAGTTAAACGTATACGAAGCACGCATCTCGCCGTTAGACTACTACCATATCAGATTAAGTCTAGGAACATGTCAGATCTTTAATCTCAATTACAATTGCATTGTAGAAGTGGGCACACAAACTGAACTGACCATAACCAATGTAGTGAAATAAATATGTGTGAATAAAAACGCACATAACAAATACGCAAGGCACAAACGTATGCACATGTAATAGAATGGAAGCAAAAGAACATATTAAAACGACTAAGACAATACTAAAAGTGTTACTATTACCGAAGGTAAAAAGAACTCGTGTAAAGCACTTGTAAGTCTCGTCTTAGATTAATAAGTGTGCGAAGTGGCATCAAATGCCTTTCGTTATTAATAAAACGGTGGTACGATCGCCACTGATCAATATCGCAAAGATAACGAAACGAATCTACTGATAAAACCCTCAAAGACAACAAGACCAGGCGACTAGCACTAGAAGTTGAACTTGAAGCTGAACGGTCCTCCACCCTCTCGGAACATGAATATCACCGGGAAGCTGTAACCAATATCGTTATATTCACATGTTGGTTCAACATGTCCAAGATAAATAAATAAATAAAATTAGTTGCGCATATTGCACATAGCAAGTGTTGTAGCCAACGGATGCTTCCGCCCCCCACACTATCGTTGAAGAAAAGAAGGCGAATCTTGTAGCGTGAAAGGCCAAGAAACTGGAACAAAGGATCATGAACGTACCCGTGATGAAAATGCGTACCACCCGTCTTTGAGTCCGGGTCGAGAGGATCGATTCCTTGATCAAATTGCGCTCGTTTCTCTGAACAAACGAAACAATTAGTAAGCGCTTCAGATGAACCACATAAAAAAGGAATGTGCAATGAGGCAAACGTGGGTAGATTCACTCACCGTCGTCTGAAAGGACCTCCTTGGCAGCAGCGATGTCGATAAACTTCGCCTCGGCCTTTTTCTTTTCCTTTTCGTCGTTGAAATTGTCTGGATGCCATTTTTGAGCCAGTTTTCGGTACGCTTTGGTCACATCACGCTTGCTTGCGTTTCTGAAGCAACATATTTGCAGTGCAATAACCTTTGGATTATCTGCCTACTGCAGCAATTAAGCATCAAAAGACTAGGGTGCGGTTCACGCCAGTCATTTCCCAAGGTGAATTCACAAATTCGACATTTGGTCAATTGACTTTCTTGCGTCTCGGGTGAGAGCTTCTCCACGTTAACAGTTGAACCAGGACTTGCTTGGCTAAGAGAAAAGGAAAAGCATGGAGTATTCATAACGCTTTAGATGACAGTTCTCTACACGGCACTAGAACTTAGATGGTGGCTTCAAATGGAGCTGATACCTTCGACGCCCATTCTGACAGACACCCACAATAACAGCAGCCGCATTCTCTTCTAGCAGCCCATCTGAGCTGAGCAAAACATACTGACTCAAAATGTAAGATTAACGAGCCAGTGAGCAGGGGGTAATGCAGCAAAGGGATTTCTATCCGTAACATGCGAGTAACCATCAAAGAAAACACAGAAATACGCGGTAATTGAACGTCCTCCTTTCCAACGGGGCAACGTATCAAAGCGTATGCTAATAACAAAAGGGCTACGTTTGGAAGTCAATTTTTTGCATGCAAAGGCAATCATTCTAGAGAGAAAAAACACTGAAGGGGCAACGCCGGCGCAGCACACGGCTAGCATTGATTGCATGGGATATATAATGGGCCGTATGCCACCCCTCTGAGATTAAAGAGCATTTTGTATGGAAAAACTTTAGACTATCGCACCCAATTCTCTGCTTCCCACATCTCTGGAAGAACCCTACAGACAAGCAGGCACCTTTTGCCAGCGCGCCTCCTTTATCCAAAAAGTTTTCAAACCTTAATTACTGAAGCAGAAACATAAGGAGTTGTTTAAATGCGAGCTTAATGTAAGCTTGAAAGTGCAGAATACACTGAACAAAAGAGAAACAAAATCTATTTGGCTTCAGAAAAGCTCATATCTAACTAACTAAGGGTACTTGTAGAGTTTCTTGCGTAGGAGAGTGTGCATGGAATAAAGTCTACGAGAGCTTCGTTGCTAGGTTCTAAAAATGCCAAAAAAGTGAGTATGAAACGTTGTGGAAAAAGTCGCATATGAGCTATTTGTGCATAGGTATACAAACAAGTTATCGACGGGAATCTTGGAAGTATTGACATAAGGTACCCTTGGAGGCGTAACTCAGAATTGTTTCAGGATTGCGACTATTTTTCATGTCGCTTCCGAAGCGTAGCTGAGGATGAGCTTTGAAGCTACATATATGTACCCAATGCTGCCAAAGATTTAGAGAGCATTGAAAGGATCGAACTGTCCTCTTCGACTTCTTTTTCACTCTTCTTGATGTTTTACAAATCGCTCAGTCAAGATGCACCATATTACGCCCAGACAACGTGCGCAAACCGTTTATGAAGCGCTTCGCGCCACAACAAACAAAAAATAAAAATCAAAAAATTGGTAACTGGCACAACGTAAGACAGATTTATCAATGAAAAACTCACCTCTTCAAACCGAGGATCTTGTAATAATCTCGCTTTCCGGCTTGTTTCTTCAGCTTTTGGGCCTTTTCCAAACCTTCTTGTGCACGCCTGGACTCTCCATTTATTTGTTGAGCCTTCTGGAAGTCTTCGATAGCTGAAAAGAGCATATAGATAGGAATATTCACACGCTATGACAGAGGATGATACGATTCTCGAAAGAGAGGAAGAGATAAACGTCGCGTCTGATAGCGTAAAGGAAAGGGGGGTTGGGCTGGGCATTTGCTGATAACAAAAGAATCAGTGATTGATCTACTAAACCTTTCACGCACCTCACAGAACAAGACATTCAAAATCTGGAAATCTACAACTACCGGAAAAAATTGGTTAGCATTAAAAGACATCAAAAATTACAACTACCACGCCAGTTCTAATCTTTTACGATTTTTTTTGCTATCTGCCTGCATTTTCTTTTCACATTTCAGGTCCCGAAAACTTCAACAGATATTAATGTCTCTGCCATTTATTCCTTTTCTTGAAAACAACAAGTGCAGCAGTTGCAGACCCTTCACCCACCAACGCCGACAGACCCTAGTGTTGTTACAAAGTAGCGTCATTAACACATTAGCAACAGCGTGAGACGCTAGCGCATCGCGTTTTCGCGCGTAAGAAACCCACTTTTCTTTACTCATCTGGGCTCTCCCTTGTTTCAAATTTGTTCTTATGTTTATGGGAGTCCGAAAACAATACATTCGTTCCAAATAATGAAATCACTGAGGAAGTAAATACTGATAGAGAAAAAAGCAAGATTCTTCACGATCGCTTCAGCATAAAATGCTTTGAGAACTATAACAATTAGTGAAGACCTTACCCTCATCATATCGCTCATCTAGTAAGTACGCTTCAGCACGATCACACAGAACGTCCACGTCATTTGGATCGCTATTCTCTAGTACATCCGTGCATTGTTGAATGGCTTCGTTGGTATGACCAAGCTGGAAAACACTTTGAATCACCTTAGTATCTTAACGAATGCTAAGGTATCAGGAGACAAACCTCCGTATTGCACTTGCACAGATGCCTGTACACGTCCATCTGAACTTCTGTTACTTTCGTTTCGGCTTTGAGAATTTGTTGACCCTTCTCTAGACAACCCATCCAGTCTTCACGACTCTTGGCGTCATTCAAGGATTCTAAAGTATAAAGCAGCGATCAGAACACTGTGAACAAACAACATGCAAAACACCACATACCTCTCATTTTCACAATTTTCTTAACTTTTTTGTAGAGCGGGAAGCATTCTTTGTGATCAGGATTTAGCTTGAGGCACTCACGAACTTGCCTAAAAGCGGGCATAGAAATAAAATCATTACACTGCTTAAAAGCATTAAATCTTACGTTAGTGACTCTTCAACATCTCCGATTCCATAGTAGAGCTGTGAGATCCTTAAGTAATCCTCCGTACTGTCTGCTACCAATTTTGTGAGAGTTCGCATATCAGCGATAGCCTTTCTCACTTCACCCCGTGATTCCAGACATTTAGCTCGAAGGCGATACAATGAAGGATCCCAGACGAGATGCTGACAACAATTTCTTGAACAAGCGATTATCACAATAAATAACTCCATTAAGCACTATACCTCAACAGCTTTGTTCAAGTAATACTCAGCAGAATGGTAGTCCGCTCGTTCGAAGAAAGACTTAGCTTGGTGAAGATACTGCCGCAAATCAGCGATCAGTTCTGCTTTAGCGGCTACTTCTGCATTCCGTGGTTCTACGGCTAACTAAATAGAAACGAATCACTATAAATCAATTATATATTCCTTTTATGAAATAAAAACGACACTAACAACTGCATTATAATCCCTCTCCGCAGCGTCAACTTCTCCTTGCTTTAGAAGAACATTTCCTCGTTGTATCCTGGCCTAAACAGACGTCATTAAACCTTAATGAAAGCAGTCGATATATACAGGATTAGGTGCTTTTATCCTTTTAACTATCCCAAGTTGAAGTGGACGATTTTATTGAGATATGCAGGGTGAGTGCAAATTACGAAGACTTCGGGAAAAAGTTACATTCGGACAAGTAAATGATGAATTTAAACTCTGACTGTAAGCAACAATTCAATGTTCACTAAAATATTAATTATTTACACTAAACCTATCTCAATCATTTTCGAACTCAACTTATCTCATAAACTACTGCTTGATTTCACATGCTACCCTGTTCTGATAATGCGCAAACAGTATCTTCCGCTAAGATTTTATAAGAATAGTTAAACTAGTACAAGCTAGTGAACTTTTGGGAGCGTTTTATTACCTCCTTTATCACAGGCCGGCCCTTATAGGGTCACCATAGGACTGAGGAACTTCCAAGAGCACGTTGTACACTTTTGAAAACTGTGTCGCCCCACCCCTTCTCCGCAGTTGGTTGAAAATACTTCATCTGTCTTCTCTCGTTGGACTCTAAACGAACGCAAGTTTACACCCCCACCATCAGAAGATGAGCACCATGAGTTGAGCACGGATCTCCGTCCGAACCCTAAGAGCAGGAAATTTGGTCGACAGGCGCCTTGTAACATTTGAAAGTCTTCTTAAAACGGATGGCACGATGTCTTGGTCGCCAATAATAAAAATTAGAGGTGGTAAAGGTGATTGCGTTCCATTTCCTCCATGTGCGAACCACAGAGCCATATGAACGGTGATGCCACGACGTGAAGGCTCTGCTCTGCTAGCTAAATCGGCTTTATCCGACGGCGAGGGACCAGCAAGGGGTAACTTATCGCTGGGCGAGGCGTTAAAAAAATCGGGAAAGCCTTGAAAGTCCGCTGTGGCCGTGTCCTGCTCCCGCAAAGCGTCCTTCCTTGAGAACACCAAGTCTCTTCCACCCCTTCTTAACACACAATTTATCAAGCAATGTGTCTCTAACCAAAAGGGTTGTCAATTCCAAGACACTCCCATAAAATGAAAAGAAAAAAGAGAGGAATGTAAAAAAAAAAACTCACAGCTATGAAGTCTCCTTTAAGTTCGATAACCTTGTCAAGATCTGGAACGGCAGATTTACTTTTACCCATGGCGAGATACACGGTAGCTCTCCGATATAATGTTTGGTAATTTAAAGGGTCCAAATCGATGGCTGCATGGTAATGAGATAAGGCATCAGCAAATTGCCCCTAAAATGTTTTGAAATGGAAACCATGAACAAGAGCGCAAATGACGACTTAGATACCTTCGCAAGAAACTCTTTTCCAAGATCGAGATGCCTCTGAACTTCCTCTTTTCCCGCATAGGTTAGAGCTGAAAACCGACAGTTGGTATCAATCGGATCTCCCAAGAAATTGAGGACAAACTTACCAAAGAGAACGCTGACGACATGAAATTGTGTAGGAATCCTCCTGATGAGGGAGCGCATAGTATTCGTTGCAGCACAAAAAGACTCAGGATTTTTCAATCTGTGAATGTTCGTTCGGTATTAACTCTGAAACTGAGCCAATATGATTTTATTTCGAATAAGGATAACGAAAACAAGCGCTAAATGATTCGAATTAAAGTAGTAATCGTTGAGTATCAACGAATTCCAAGCAAAAATCGTCACAATGAATAAAGATACGATAAGTTGCAACTGAAGCACGCAACATCACTATTTATTAACATACACAACTTCAGAGGAGATGGAAGCGCTACTATAAGCCCACAGGACATGACCAAAAGCAGAACAGACAAAATCCGAAACAGGTAGCCATCATACTTCGCTTCGACGTGGAATGCGTGGAAAGGCGCTTCTTCGGTGAAGAGGTTGAGAAAAGAGTCGTCTTTAGTGACGTCAAACGTTAAACCGCTGTTTCACCAGTCACGCCTACCTTCGCCCCCCCCCCAATGACGTCAAATTTAAAGGAATTCGGGGCCATATTTGATGTGTATCCCGCGATACCAGGATTCACGATACTATTGACACAAACGACTCTGGAAAGTCGGGGGGGGGGGGAACGGATTGGCAAGGATTTCCTCAACACCTTACTTATCCTGTTTTGGATTTCCTCAACACCTTCCTTATCCTGTTTTGAAGTGTTAAGCTGGATAAGAAAGGACATCGTCGCCATTAAGCTGCTCAACGTCTCTTTGGCCTTTTTAGCGCTATCAAGAACTCCTTCCTAGGGTGATAGTGAATAATCCGAATAGCACTTTTAGCTGCGGTCAGTCTAATCGAAGGACAAATTGCACAAGTCGAATAGCAGATGAAAGGGAACAGAAAAAAGGAAAACTAGCAAGTCGACATGA